TGATTCTTACTTTTCCTTTTCTATATTATCATGTTGGTGCGCGCTTTAATATTTAGTTATGAAGGATAGTGAATCTCTTATCTTGAATATATAGGATTTCTTAAGAGTACAATGCTCACTCAACCAAATAAATCCTTTCTAGAATCATTTGTTAATTAATTTTTATTTATTCTTTTGGCTTATAAGCTAATAATTTTAGCTTTTGTTTTTTGGTTTGTAATTTTAAGTTTTTTTTACTTTTGTGATGTAAGAATATTTGGATAGGTATTGGAATTTATTTTGAAACTTGATGTATACTTTTATCTGTTAAACCAATGCTTAAAAAAGCATAAAAAATAAAATTCCATTTTTCAGATCATGAAAGAATTATAATTTAAATAACGTGTTGATTTATTTTTATTTTTTTAATTTTAGTTGGAGAGGATATTTTATGATTATTAGGTTGTTATAATTTTAGTTGAAGATGACATTTTATAATTATTAGAATTTTAGTTAAATACAAACTCTAAAAGAATATAAAGAATTTATGATAAATAAATATTGGTGGATGAATTTAGAACGATATATTTTTATTTATCTATCTATTTGCATAAGATTAAAAATATAATATAATTTATCTTTTTAAAAGTCAATATAATATATATTAAAAACTGTGAAATCGTTAAAACGATTAAATTACCCTTTGTCCCAATCCAAAAGACCTTCCATACTGTATCAAATTTAATTTGAAAGTTTTTTATTGTGAAATCACGTTTTCCTTGTAATGATCTAGCAGGCGTAATACAACGATATTATAGTTATTTTATTTTGCAGACTTTCTTATCACCCCCACCCCAATCCCCTCACCAAACTGTCCAGCAAAATCACAAAATATTTTTCCACTAATTTACGCTTTATGGAGTTAAACAGCAATAATTGTTCATCAATCATGAAACAGAAGAGGTTGTTTGCAATGTGCTTTACCCAGATATTTGAACAACATTAGGGATATACAAAGACACGTACGTTTTCAGTATGTTATGTGTAGAAGTACATATTTGAATATCTATTGAATTCTTATATAATTGTAAAGAGTTAGATATTTTCTTTTTTTGTTTAGAAGATAGTTCTTATTTTTCTCTCGATCTTGTTTGTTGTTAATTGAATAAAAGATTGACTTGCTAGGCAAGTTTTATTAAGGGAGAATCATTTTTTGGTCGATTTTAACCATCCTACAATTCAGTTATTTCAATAATACCTTACTTTTTATTTTTCGATATGTATTTACATAATAATTGTCCTTTATGAAATTTGTGTTATTAATTCTCAATCAATTAACATTCACATTAATCTAGATTCAATGAATTTTCATTTGATGAATCTTGAATTATATGAATCTAGAGCTATTATAGATTAATTTATTCATATTCATGTATCTATAAATTTTAATGGTGTTTAAATTTGTGTTTTAACAATCAATTTTATGTATCAAATATAATATAAAAGATTACTCATTTATAGTATTTCATCATTATAAAAAATTTGAATAATAGAAATTGAGTTTTGAAAGTACAATTTTCTTCGCTTAAATTTTTATGCTAAATTTTATTTTCTTTAATTCATCCAAGACCCATCAAATCCTCTAACAAATTGGTACCAAATATTACTTTTACATCATTTATAAAGCATTTTTAAATAATGTGCAATGCACGTTCAAATTTGACAAGTGAATTTAAATGTTTCTAAAAAAGCTTATAACCAACATCGTCGGAGTCCCATAACCAACCGGTCTAAGTTACCGGTCCAAGTCGGTTTCGACCCAGTAATCTTTTTAAGCAGATTGGCTCGGCACGCTGTACTTTCCTAAATTAACGAGGTCGGATTAACCACCTTCTTAAGTTTCTTTTTATAAATATCTTTTCATACTTAATTTGTTAAAAATAAAAATAAAAATGTGAATGCTTCTACAGTTGAAAAACTAATTTGACTTTCAGTCAAACAAATACCCTTTTTGATGCATGGTATTAATTGCTCGTATTAATATTTTTTTCTATTATTTAAACGATGTAGAAAATTATATCTTCAAAATCGAATTCAAATCAGCATATTCAACTATGGATAAGGACAGGGGCGGACCCACATGGGGTCATGTGGGGTCCATTGACGTCACAATTTTTCTTTTTTTTGCCCCAAAAAGTCCAAATCCTAAATCTATATCCATATCCATTATTTAGTCCATAGATATATCGTATAATCCACCGATTTTTCCTTTTTATTTATGATACGTTGTTCGAAAAAAAAAATTTGACCCAACAATTCGAACTGTCTGAATCCGCCCCTGAATAAGGAAACTGTTTCACTCAAAACAACAGATCTCTATAGTTTATGTTAGAGAAAATAAAAAAATAAAGAAAGAAAGACAAGATATCTCTTAATTAACATAATTATTTCATTATGGCAATCTTTTGATTGCTTACTCAAGCCACAAGGATCACGTGTATAACGTAGTGTTACATATTATTAATTTGGGCAAACAATATATTTAGAATAAGAAAATTATTCACTGCTAAAAGCAATAATTTTGAAGTAAATTTAGCCACCGAATAAATGCATAAAACAAGCTTTTCACTATACTTCTCTTTTTTTTAAAGTAGAAATTGAGATTTTTTAAAACATGTTTTCACTATTCATCATCCTCATCCTATTACAAAAGGTACTGACGAAAACATAGAGCACATTGTGAGAAATCCCCAAACTTAGGAGTGGGGTATAAGTTCTGTTAGATAAATGATGCTTAATTATGGACATGTTCGATAGTGATTTTGAAAATTGATCTTTTTACTCTTAGGGAGAAAAGTGGGGACAATTGTGAGTGAAGAAGTAAAAAATGACAACTGAAATAGTGAAATAAGGATCAAAAAATAAATTTTTTGGGATAAAAAATCACTTCCAAATGGGGCCTATATGTGAAATCAATATATTCCTTCGTATTTAGCAAAGCAAACTCTTGAAATTCGACTTACTAAAATAAAAATCATCCTAATATAATTATAATTATGACATTATGAAATCATTAAAAATGATCTTCTAAATATCAGAGAGATAGGTAACACCACACACACATTAATTGGTTAATAACTTCATATTAAGTCTCGGGAATTAAATGATCTACAGATTAATTGATGAGGCATGTTACCGATGCTTAAGATATCATTTACAATGACATTAATTTATGAACATACACAATAATAATAAAATTGATGCATGTAGAAATGATTGTTATTAAATTGCCATTGTCCCTCTATCAACTAAAAAAATGTAGAGTTTATGACTGTTGGAAACTGTGCACAACGTATCTTAGATAGTGTGTCCAATTTAAAATAAAATTCATATGCAGGCAAAGACATTTTCAGGAACCTGCTTAGTGTATAGAATTTATACAGATGGTGAGGTGGCGCCATTTCATTGGTGATTGCAAAAAAGAATCGAAAAACTGACCATTGAGATGCTGCCAACGTAGTATCTAAAAAATTCTGTAAAGAAATCATCAATATACTATCTTAACAATACTATCTATTTATCCTTTTTCAGGTGACACTATCTTCACAATACTTTTACAATTCGATATCAGCACCATCATTTACCAATCGAAGTTCCCTTTGAAACAACAAATTGCAGACGTTGATATACATTTAAAAATCAGTATGATATTTCTTAAACAACTATAAATCAGAACCAAAAGAGGAGGTTTGCAAATTGCAATATTAGGGATATACAAAGACACTTGCCTTTTTAGTTTTTAGTATGTTATGTGTAGAAGTCATGTACATGTTTGTATATAGAAGAGTATATCTATTGAATTATTATCCAATTATAAAGAGTTAGATATTTTTTGCATAAAGATAGCTCTCTTTTTCTCTCTCGATCTTGCTTATTAATTGAGCAAAAGATCGACTTGTTAGAATTATAGCTAAGTTTCATTATGCAATTAAATGTGTCAAAACAAGCTTACCAACATCGCCAAAGTTCCATAGCCAACCAGTCTAAGTTACCGGTCCAAGTTGGGTTCAAACCAGTAACTATTTTTAGCAGATCAGCCCTGCCTGCTTGACTGTCCTAAACTGGTCGAGATAAGATTAAACTGCTTTCTTAAGTTTCATTTTATAGATATCTTTTCATCATTAATTTGTAATAAACAAAAGTGGTTTATTGCTTCAAAAGTTGAAAGGCTAATTCATTTTCAGTCAAACAAATAACTTTATTTATGCATGGTATTAATTATTTGTGTAATATATTTATAATTTTTTTCTATTATATATAAATGATGTTGAAAATTAAATCTTCAAAATCTAATTCAAATTAACATATTCAACTATGGATAAAGAAACTGTTTCACTCAAAACAAGGTATCTCTACAAATTAAATAAATAGTTTATGTTAGGGAAAACAAAAAACTAAATAAAGAAAGACAAGAAATCTCTTGACTATTTGACATAATTATTTCATTATAGCAATCTTTTGAGTGCTTACTCAAGCCTCAAGAATCACGTGTATAACGTAGTGTTACTGACATATTATTGATTTGGACAAGCAATATATTTAGAATAAGAATTTATTCACTGATAAAAACAATAATTTAGCTTCGAATTAAAAAAATAGGACCAACACTAAGCTCGTTTATTTTAATAAAATATCAAGAGTTGATCGATCAATGTCCGTTCATTCATTACTGT